AAGGACAGTGTTGCAAAGGATCAGGGACCTGTAGATACGGCAGTAATTAAGGACAGTGTTGGTGATTCATTGGAGGTTTTGCTTCCTACTGAAACATCTAACTCTTCAGCTACATCTGATAGGGATAGGCAAAATTCAAAGGACAGTGTTGCAAAGGATCAGGGACCTGTAGATACGGCAGTGATTAAGGACAGTGTTGGTGATTCATTGGAGGTTTTGCTTCCTACTGAAACATCTAGCTTTTCAGCTACATCTGGTAGGGATGGTCAAAATTCAGACACATTGCCAGATACGGATCCGTCTATTGAACCTGTCCAGTTTTCCAAAAATGAGGAGGATGTTGATGGTGAATCTCAGGTGACGTCTAGTAGTGGATGTGATGCAGGCCGTGGTCAGGATGTTGAAAGACAAATGGTACAAGGAAGTGGACATCGGCATATGGTTGGTGATCAACAGCATGCACCTATTAGATCTCAACGTGAAATATCAAGTGGTTTCCGTCCACCGAAGTTTGGAGGCAAGCAAAAACATGTAACCATCAGGGAAAGGGCCATTCCAGGCTATGGAAATATAATGCGGAGGCAAAAATCTAAATCAGTAGATGATGTGGGAAGTCTGAAAACCGGAGCACATGCAGAGACAATAGACCAACCAGCTGAGGAGAAGGTTAATGTGGTATTGATCGGTTCCTTACCTGTCAAACTCTACCATCACAAGTCTAGTAGTGTAGCTGAAGCCCAAGATTGTTCCCTGGTAGAACATCAAATACCAAAGAGGAACAATCTTCCAGAGAAGCCTAGCAAACCTGAATCTGTTCGTAGTGGCTACCAGTCAACAGGAAAGTGTTGGAGGCCAGTAAGTCATGGAAGCAGAAGTGTAGTGCCAGGTAATATTGGTGTTAAAGAATTTGATGCGGAAGTGATTGCTGAAAAGAGTGCAGATCAGACCTCCTCAAGTGAAGGCTGTCTAATCTCAGATGCAACTGAAGTTGTAAACACACCAGAAAGCCAGTATGAATTTGACGTGAATGCTGCAAGAGAATACCTTGCACAGAGTAAGTACCAAGTAGAAGTTTGTTTACTTGTACTGATTATTTTGCTCTCATACACTCATTCTAATTTACTGATATTAATTTTGTTGTAGCGTGGAAGGAGGTTCTTGAAGGTGGTGAATATACGATCTTGATTCTTGACTCTGATAGTGAATCTCCAAGGAATGCTGCAGCTCAAACTGAATCACCAGATTCTCCCGAAAGTGGCAGTACAGACAATGAAGAAAACAGGGCGAGTGTGGGCAGTGTTGTTGAGACTTCAGCTGGAACAGCTGCTGAAAGCCAAGTTCTGAAGAAAGCCTGAGAAGGGTACAAAACTGAAGTACGTTCCTGAACGAAGAAGTGGTACCTAACAACAAGAAGATACAGTGATTTTTGACTTCTGAGATTTGCATAGTATAGCCATATGGTGGTAATATTCTTAGCAGAGGTTTCAGACTTTCAGTTTTACCAGTAGTCTTCTGTCAGAAATTGAAGAAAAGATTTTACCGGAAAGATTCTTATGATTCCATCTTTTCTTTTCTTTTTTTTTTCTGGTATGGTGCACCATTAGTGAAGGTTTATCCTACATCGTTCCCCCTTTTGGTTCAAAATTTTTGGTGTAATAAACTGAGGTTTTAGCCATTGCAGAGGTGTTTTTGAGGTGGGAAGTGTACGGTTTCTTTTTCATTTTGCCACACAATTTACATGTATTGCAAGAATTTTTTTCCCTCCAAATAATAAATAAACAGATCCGTTAAAAGAATCTCTCGGCAAATAAATGCTTTTAATATAGTGTCATATGGTATTTAACCAAAATTAATTATGTGATTCTAATTGAATTAGTATTTATTAATTTGAAAATTTAGTTTAAAATAAAACTTAAAAATTTAAAACTCTATAATATTAACCCGTAAATATTTAGATATATTAAAAAAATATCTAACCACAATTTCCGGTAAAGAGCATTTTTAACTAAACCACAGCCGAATCCCACCTTTGTCCTCCTTGGGAGATTACTTCTCATCCAAATATTCGTTGAGCAGCTTGAGCTCCTGACACGTCCCTAAACCGACTCCAACGTCCATCGCATTTCATGCCACCTTTCATCCTCTCCACCCGCCACGCCTCCTCCACCGTCATTCAACTCTCCCTTAACTTCCGGGAAAAAAATTCCATTCCAAACAAGCTCCTCACTTGTCAGGGGAAATCCCAAATTGAGAGAATAAACCCATCCAAACACAAAAATGTCAGGTGGGGTTGGTCCAACTTGTAACGACATTAGCCTCCCCAAGGAGGAAACGCACGAACACGCCCACTCCCAGCCTGTTTCTCTAAAACCCACTGCGACCCCTCTGCATAGAGGCGGTTTCCTCACTTTCCGGCAACTCAACGCCCTTGCTGTCATGATCATCATGTCGGCGAGCGGCATGGTCAGCCTGGAAGAATTCGCCTTCGTAGTCTTCTCCTTCATCTACATCTACTTCCTCTCCAGAGTCGCCTTCCCCCAACAATTTTCCGGTTCCGAATCCCAAGTTTTCGACCCGAAAAACAAAACCCTCCGCCTCTACGTTGCAATCGGTTCTCTAATTGGACTCTTCGCCCCAATTGCTTACATCTGCGAAGGGATTTTCGAGGGGGACGTAGAGGGCATAAAGGCAGCAGTACCGCATGTCTTCCTCCTGGCAAGCCAGGTGTTCATGGAGGGTATAGCGTTTTCCGACAGGTTTCCGATTCCGATTAAGGTTTTCGTACCGGTGTTCTACAATTCCAGGAGGCTGTTTACGCTTGCAGATTGGCTGAGGACGGAGGTGTGGAAGGTGGAGGAAGGAGGGTACATGGGTTCTGCGAGGAGGCTGTTGGTGGGGAGAGTGCTTGCAGTGGCTAATATGGCGTTCTGGAGTTTCAATCTTTTTGGGTTTTTGTTACCTTTTTATCTTCCTAGAGCTTTTAAGAAGTTCTATGTTGGGTCCAAGGTCAAGGATTAAACGGAAGCCTTTTATGTTTTCCCTTTCTTTTTTTTTTTTCTTTTTTTTTTCTCTCGGCACCATTTTGTTTTTATTAGTATAGTTATAATATTATATAAAATTATAAAATTATAATTATAAGCAATATTAAATAAATAAAATATTAAAAATAAATTTTTAAATAAAAATTAATTATATAAAAATATAACATCTTAACTTGTCGCCCAAGTATAAAAATAAAAAGCCACCTTTTTTACTTAGATCAGGTTGTATCTCAACTAACACATATCTCAAAATTAATTTCACTTTCATTTTTTTCTTTCCATATATACGCGTAAACGCGTTTTTCGCTCTTTGCACTAAATGTCCCATTC